AAAAATTTCTTTATAGTAACAAAAAGTAAAACGCGTAGAATGCCAAAGTTCTAAACTTATATTTAAGGTGGAAAGCAAGTTGTTTGAGATGTCATTGAATCAGCTTTGCAAATAATCCTTAGAACCACTTGGGTAGAAGTTAATCAACATTTCATCTCCAACAAACTGCTTTTATCTTGCTTAAATCAGATCAATTTTTTGTATTTATTGAAATTGCTTTTAGTTGCGATACTTTGAAGAATTAAGCTGGTCTCTCAGCTTGTCTCTAAGCTTATTTCTGCGAATAAGTTAATAAAGCTCAATTGATCAAGTTACTAGCAACAAGTGAGTCCAGGACTGCTCAACTATATGCATTTGATGACAATTCAATCTTAATTTGTCATCAAATAAACAAAACTCTATTCTCGATTCCGTAAGAGGACCGTAAGAGGTTCTTTAAACATATGCTCGTATGCAGGGTGGTTAAAAATAGAATCTGGCCTTTTTTAAAATTATGTTCACGTGTACAATGTGTGGCAGAATTCATTTGTTGGCAGATAATATATGTCACACATTGCATATGTGCACATATTTTATGTGTGATGTGTGCACATATTTGATGTGTGACACATTATTTTGTGTCTCATATGAAAATGTGTGATGTGTGACACATATTCATGTGTGTAGATATCATGTGTAAACATGCAAAATCTGCACATATTTATTAATTTGCGGGACTAAAGTGGTATTTTTTTGTAGAATTTATTTAAAAAATTATTGATATATAACCAAAACAGTCAAATACTGCATAAAAGAGTTAATTTTGTCGAAAATATGTTCATCAAACTGTAATTTTAAACTAATTTGACTTTATTTTCGGAAAACTTGACTTAAAATTGATTTACAAGTGATTAAGGGACACGAGTTTTACTATTAAAGTATTGATTATAACTGAAGCTCATCATTCTTAGTTTAATCTTCATTTCTCCAACAAATAAAATCAAATTAGTTTAAAATTACAGTTTGATGAACATATTTTGGAGAAAATTAACTCTTTTATTCAGTATTTGACTGTTTTGGTTATATATCAATAATTTCTTAAATAAATTCTACAAAAAAATACCACTTTAGTCCCGCAAATTAATAAATATGTGCAGATTTTGCATGTTTACACATGATATCTACACACATAAATATGTGTCACACATCACACATTTTCATATGTGACACAAAATAATGTGTCACACATCAAATATGTGCACACATCACACATAAAATATGTGCACATATGCAATGTGTGACATATATTATCTGCCAACATATGAATTCTGCCACACATTGTACACGTGAACATGCAAAATGTGTTGGATATGTGTACATATTCTGTAAAATAGAATATGTTTTAACAACCCTGCTCGTATGTAAGCGCCTGATTAACACAATAGTGCTGAAAGTAATTTCAATAAATACACAAAAATGTCACTGATTCAAAACTATTAAAAGAAAAAAATCTCATTGTTTGTATTAGAAACGAAAAGAAATTGCAAATAAAAATTCAAAATTTTAAAAAAAATTTCAATAATTTTTTTAACATTTTATTAAAGATTTTTTTTATGAATTTCAGATTTTTTTTAACTTTTTTTATAAATTTTCAAGTCGACTTCGAGCCCTGCTTGGACTTAGTCAGAAGCTTTCGAATGAGTGAAGTTGGATATCAACAAAGCAATCCTTACTAATGAGCTTTAAAAGCTACAAGCAATGATTAAAGAATGTCAGCTGAATGTGCGGACAGACAAATTGTATAAATAAATCAGCTCACAAAGCCAGCAACAGAGTTTGATTTAAAGCCTTTTGTTATAACCTAAGCTTAACGGAGGAACATGGTTACAGTAAGTACTCCTGACTACCCAGCATCCAATACTATTACATCACCAACATATGATTCTGTCACATCTTTTGTGAATATTCAGCAAATGTGTTTTTTTTTTGTTACAAACAAAACAAGATGATCGATAGTCAATTTAGAGATAATAAGATCTGATGTTCCATAATTTTCTTTATCTTTTGTCTTATTATCTTTCGTTAATTAACAATTTTTTTCCACATTTCTTATGTTCTTGATTTTTTTACAGCTTTGTTCAGCTCATCTCATCTGCACGCAAATTAGACTACAAAAAGACCGAAAGCCAGACCTCGAAGTTGACTTTTCAACAAACAGGAAAATTGTTTGAAGGAGGTTGGAGGTTCTTGATTCAAATAACTTCATCAGTCTTCATCTTAAGTCTAGTTTGCAAGCATATGGTGTATTTGGGACTGGTTTTAAGGTCTAGCCTAACTTGATTATTCAAACTATGGATTTCAATCCCTGGATCCCGTTTTCGAGATCTTTTATTTTGATCGTGTTAAACGTAATTTCAAAATCAACAATTTCTAATACAGTAATCCCGGGATTGAAATTTTGGGCCGGTATTGAAATTCTTAATTTTAACCAAAAGGGCAAAATATTATTTCAATTAATTAAAATTAATCTGAGTCTAGGTAGGGTGCTCTGGTAGCCAAAGAAACCAGGCGCTGAAATGGTTTTTAAGGCAACAATGTAAATCCTAAATTGGTCGTGGCCAAAAAAAAGTCCAAAACTTATTTAAATTATGACTGGCTATGCACCTGATATCTAGGGTGAATAGCTTAAAAGCTAGGGTTGTCTTATTACCCATGCTCGAAAATTAGGCATTCTACCGATAAATACCCCCAACTTCCTTACAAATATCCCCAAATACCGCCTCTTTATATGAAATCCTAGCAACTTAATACCAACTAGTTTTCAGGCCTGGCTTATTACATTACTTTTTTCAGGGAAAGGAGGTCTGAGATTTTATGACGTTTCAATGAGTCTTTAGAATCGAGCCCCGGTAGTCCTAGAAACCAGCCACGAAAATACTTAAACAGTCCACCTTCGATGGACCTAAGCAGTGTGACTTCAATCTCTGACTCAATCCAAAAAAACTTTCATTAAATGACGTAATTCAAGTTGATGAAAAAACAATAAAAGAAAAAAACAATCTATTTCGTGTTAATTGAATTTTTGTGCTTCCTCCTTTTATTATCGACTGCACAATAAATTCAATTTTTCATTGAATACAATCATTACGGATCTATTGATAAGACTATAGTCTAATAATAGTAAATTCAGCATGTTGAAGCAATAAAAAGGGAATATGAAGTTCAATGAGTGAGTGTGGGATGCGGAATGGATTGTTGTGTTCTATTTTTATGGATTGTTTGTTGTTGATTCTGTTTCTAGACAAGAATCATGAATGTTAAGGAGCTAATTGGGAAAAAAAATATGTTGAGATGTGGATGGAGAGTTTGGGGGTCTTGGATGATTTGACAGCTGATTTTAGCAACCATCACTATGTTACGATCCAGGTGTGTAACCAGGGGGGAGGGGGGGATTTGGGGGACAAATCCCCCAACGTAAACAGAAATTTCTTTATTTTGAAATGGGTTTTTATTAAAAAATCACAAAAATCCCCCCCCCCCCCCCCTTTCTTAATTTTTTTGTCCCCTCCTCTTCAAATTCCTGACTACGCCCCTGCTAGGAGCTACTAGTGACTGAAGGCAATATTGCACTTCAAATTATGTAGCGGTGTTGGGGGTTCAATAAAGGAAAATGGTGTAATTGGAACTGGATTTATAACTCTTGGTTGTTCTGTATGAAAGTCTAGCTCTTTATATGGGTCGAAAATTTGAACTAATGGAATCACAATAGGTCGAAAGCCATTCACAGATGAATCAAAAACTCTATAAACCGACAATGACTGCACTAATCTAGGGTTTTCACACGAAATTCTTCCAATGTCTAGTTCTAAATATGTGAAATGTCTATGAAAAAGATCATGTGTCTGAAAACTCATATGGTTTCATTTATTTTTCAATTTTAGTGCCAATTTCAGCACCTTTGGCTATGCCTTTAATTTAAATAAACAATAAATGTATATATCTACTATATATGAACTAAATATGAACTATTGCAATTTATTTATTGCCATTAATTTGGAATTATAAATTCACAAAATAAATTCGATGTATATTTTTTGAATGATGATAGTAAACTCCCCTCTTTCGTTTCCCCTATCCTCCTTTGTGTGACGTCGCCTTGTCATAGGCACGGCTACAATTAGCGATCAAGACAACTTCAGATGCCATCCAGGTTACGTTATGGATCTCAATTGACCCGCATTGCCTACTTAATTAGCAGTTATGCAAGTATTAACCACCCTGTGTCCTGTGACGCTGTAAATGTCGTTTTCCATAGATTTCTAAGCCTGAATATGCTCAAAAATGCCACAAACCCCTCAAAATAATCTCAATTGACCACAAAACAGAATCCAATAAACCTCATTTTTGCTCATAAACTTCACAATCCCCAAACAATTTAATAAACTCTATTTTTAACCTCACTCTTTTTTTATGTGGCATTAAGAAAGGTGCTTAACTTTTATTGCTTCATTGGCGACAACTTCTAATCATTGTGTCGTGTCTTAAGTGTCAATAAAAAGTGTCTGAATTGATAGTTGGTCGATTTAATGAAAATAAAAAAGATTGTCTTTATTGAGATTTGATGAAGAAATTTTGACTTTATTTGATTTTCTGTGGTGAGGAAGGAAGAGTGGAGGTCGTTTCTAGGCATTAAGCTGGCTAGCTTCTCATAATTACCATCAATTGTCTTCAAGTGACTCAAATAAAGAACACAAAACATCTAAACTAGCTCATCAATAAGTCATCGACCCTTAAAAGTCCCACAAAAATCTTCAGATTCTAAATTTCATTCACACAAAACATTCTAATTAAGTCTAATTGAATTAATGAAGTGTCAAAATGTCAAGACCCTCTTTTCAATTCATTCTGCTCTTTTTATCACTTCCTGTGTCTGGTTTATTGTTCTGAATCATTTGTGGTTTTAAATAGGAGGATTAAATGAAATATGAGAAGAATTTAGAGCAGAAAAGCAGAGGGCGAGAATGAAAAACGAGATTATTGGGTCAGAATTAATTGATCTGTTATTGGAGAGTTTAGAAGGAGGTGATTTTAAGGATGAGAGGGGTGAAAAATACTTTAAAGTTGGGTCTGATAATATTGGTAGGTAAAAATACAGCTGATAGCAGGAATAGATGCAAATTCATCAAATATTGAAATATGTTCAACTGCATCGAACAGGTTTGGTGGTCTATATTGAGTCTATATTCCAAATTAGCTCTTCCTGGTTTGTCTAAGACAGAATTGTAGCCCAATGTGACCAAAGATGAAGATTCGAGTACAGGAGCACAGTCAAAACTCAAATTAGTGACTTTTTTGACAAAACTCTTCTGATAGTTGAGCTTTGGTGTCAAATTGAAGTTTTCATTCGTAATTGAATCAGCCAGGTGTGCCAGGCAGCATTTTAGGGACCTCAAAGATCACAATCCTTAGCGAGGGTTATCGCAGTAAAGTAAGTTATCCTGAAAGTTGCATGACGCCTGCCTAATCCCAGATTATTCACAGAATTTCCATGCATCTAAATTCCCTAAAAAAAATTCCCGTTTTCAAGCCATTCATCCTTCATTCCCTCAATCCTGCACCACAACCTACTCATTCAAGTCTCGAATTTCAACGAATTCATTTTAATTCATGGCTTATTATCTTTTAAAACATATTATTTAATGTAAAAGCATATCTTTTAAGCTCGGATCAACCTGAAACAACAGAAATTTTCACGAATTTATTTCCTTATCTCGTAAAAAAAATTTTGTTTGATGTTTTTCAGCTTCATTGAAGATCAAAAAGAGTTAAATAAAGACTTGAAAGCATGTGTTTTTGTTTGTAATGTTGATAAGTTCATGTTAGAGTGATTTATGTATAAAGGGGGTTGTTATGGATATCTAGAGATGGATTGGAAGAAGTGGTGTGTCGCATTCTAGCTTAGATTCATCGATTGGAGCGAAATTTTGGCTCAAGTGCTTCACTTTAAGTTCAGTGAAGTTTAAATCACAAAGTACAGCTAAATCTTGACCAAAGCATCCAGTTCTATGGCTAAGACTAGTCAGCACCACCTAAATCCATCAATTTTTCTTCTTCCCAACTAAACATTCACAAAAAAAATCCATCACACGAATAAAAAGTGTCGGTGACGAAAATCACACTACGAGCTGCAATTTAATTTTTTTTTTTCATTCATTCATTTTCAATTGCTTTTTATGATGTGGAAATTGAGATGAATCTGAATATTCACACATGTACGTGTGCATGTATGCTGAATATTCCACATTTATTACCGATCGTGGCTCTTTTATTCCATTTAAATTTAATTTACTATCATGATTGTTTTGGTTTGCAGGCATGATTGTGTTGGAATTTTTGTGTGCTGATTGCTCATTTAATAATTTTTTTATATTCATTTTTCCGGATTCTGAAGTTGGTGCTTAAACGGCAATAATTAATGACATGAAATATTTAAAACCGACCCTCCGACTTTATTTATATCTGATCCCTTTTAAAACGATGATTTTGGATTTTTTTTTTGGTGATTATACCCGAAATTTTGTAAGAGCAGCAAAGGTATGGACTCATTAATAGGTTTTTTTTTTGCATAATTTTATGGAATTATTTTGCCTTTAAGCAGTGATAAAAATGAAATTTAATGATTTTGGCAATAAATTGAAGTTTAAAAAGTTGAATTTAATTTATTCAAACTCTCAGTAAAGATTGCTGTACTGAGATTATGATTTTTGAGAGCTTTTTTGAATTTTTAAAAGCTTTTTTCAGTTTGGAAGCTTTTTTTAAAAAAATTGGGAGTTTTTTTAAATTTTTGGAAGTTTTTTAAATCTTTATGAGCTTTTTGAATTTTTGTGAGCTTTTTTAATTTTTGGGAGCTTTTCTTAGTTTCTGGGAGATATTGTGAATTTTCGGAAGATTTTTTTAAAAAATTTGGGAGTATTTTTTAAATTTTTGGAATTTTTTGAATTTTTGTATGCTTTTTTAATTTTTGAGAGATTTTTTAATTTTTTGAATTTTTTTTAATTTTTGGGAGCTATTTTGAATTTTCGGGAGATTTTTCTTAAATTTTTGGGTGCTTTTTTAAATTTATGAAAGCTTTTTAAAAAAATTTTTGGGAGCTTTTTTGATTTTTTTAGATTTTTTTTAATTTTTGGGAGCTTTTTGAATTTTTAAGAGCTTTTTTGAATTTTTGGCAATTTTTTTTAAAATTTTTGGATGTTGTATGACATTTTTATGATTTCTAAGCAGAATATTTCAATTCTTGAACTCAAATATCAACAATTACTGTAAAGTCTTCAAACGAAATCTCAACAACCCCATCTTGACTACCAAACACTCCACATCTTCTCAATAACCCCATCATCTCCCACTATAATAAAAAATCAAGCATAAATATATCTTTTTCCGTCCATTTTATCACATCCCACACTATCAGAGCATGCAAAATAGAAGAGAATTTACATCGCAAATAAAAAAAAATTAATTAAACGACAGCAAAAAAAAAAGCGAAATGACGAAAAAGAGATGAAGAGAAAAAAAAATTTAATTAAAATTTTTCCATTCACGCGATAAGCACAAGAGCTTCAACTGGACAAGATTTGATAAAAATCAGGCAATAAAATGCAAATTTGCTTTTTCTCTTGATTCCTTCCGAGAAGTTTAAATGGCAACAGAGTGAGTCGTTCGTCATAGCTAAAAATATTTCGTTCACGTTTTGGGTAATAAAAATGAATTTTTTTGTCGTTCATTAATTTTGGAGGCGTTTGAGTTAATTTTTGTGAATAAGATAGATTTTGTAGAAATTTTTGAGGATTTGGTAATTAGGATTTTCTGAATGTGTTGCATATAAAAGAGTTATGAAAGCTTCGAAGCTATTTAAGGACAAAAATTTGGACAAAATTCCAAAAAGCTTTTAAAATTTCAAAAAGCTTTCAAAAATTTCAAAAAAGCTCCCAAAATTTTCAATATTTTTAAAAAGCTTCCAAAAATTTCAAAACTTTCAAAAAGCGTCCAAAAATTCAAAAAACTCCCGAATTAAGGTCTCAAAAAGCCAAAAAAGCTCCCAAAAATTCAAAAAAGCTCCCTAAATTTGAAAAAACTTTCAAGTAAATTCAAAACGCTTTCAAAAAATTAAAAAGCTTAAAAAGCATGAAAAAGCTCTTAAATTTTAAAAAGCTCATTTTAAAGCTTCCAATTGAGCATTGTTCCACAAATTCCACACTCAAATCATTATTTTGCCTTAACCAAACTCAACAATCACGACAATTGTCAAAAACACTCACAAATCCTTATTTTAACTTTATGTCCTCATTAAAGCCATTAACAAAATTTCCATCAGCATCATCATCGCATCTCAAGCAACGCAAAAAAGCTCCACTCTAGCCCCGCATGAGAGCCCAAAAGCCATAAAACAAAACAGCACTAATAGTCAAAGTTTAAATGTCAGCAACGACAATAAATGGATTTAAATTTTTCTTGTTTTTGTTTTTTTTTCTATTCTAGTTGACGTCCTTGTTTCTTTATCATTAGTTTCCTTCCTGTTTTTTTCTGCCTAGTAGCGGCAACAGCAATAAAAATACAAGATGGAATAAAAAGACTGAAAATAATGAGATGATGGGTGGGGATTGGATATAGTTTTCTAATTTTGGATGGTTTACTGAGATCCATCAAGAGATTCGGTGCAATTATTCTGGAAAAATCTACATAAAATTCACAATTTTGCACATTTTTTCTAGTCAAAACTTACAGATCACCCCTCCTAGTACCCTCATCTAAGAAACAAGAACAATAAAAGTATAAAAATAAGAACACTGAACAGGAAAAAAATGTTTTCTTGTTGTTTATGTCCTCATCATATCGCAAGTTACGAGAAACAAGCAAAAAAAATGAATAAAGAAAGAAGACAAAACAACATTGAAGGAAGTGCCACCATAGTAACATTTCATTCTCTAAGCAATAACTGCTTGTGCATGGTATGAGTGTGGCAATAAATGTGATTATTCTTAATCTTTTGCTGTGGAGAATGTGAAAGAGGGTAGGAGATGTTATGGGAGTCGGTTTTTAGTGGGTTTAGAGCGCATTTATCAAACTGAACTTTTTGGTTTAATTTTATTAACCTAATCCTAAGATTAAATTTAGTAATACTCAACCGATCAAATCCGAAGAAATCCGATCAAATTTGAAGAAAATCAACCTAATCTGAAGATAACCGATCAAATTTGAAGAAAATCAATCTAATCTAAAGATAACCGATCAAATCCGAAGATAACCGATTAAATCCGAAGATAATCAACCTAATCCGAAGATAGCCGATTAAATTCAGATACCAAAACAAAGACAGTCACCAAACCTAACCTCAAAAAAACCACCAAAAGCTCCTTTTAAAAAGCAATCAAAGACAAAGGAAAATTGATTTTTATGTTTTTAGTAGCAACGCACAAACCTTTTTTCATCCTCGCCCATCCTCAAAATTCCCATTCCAATCCCTTCATGGGTCATTGAATGATTATTGCTGTAAGATTGAAAATTTATGTACACACTTTTAGTGCATAAAAAGCATTAAGATGAAAGGTGGCTGGAGGATACGGATAAGGTGATATTAAATTGAGGCATAATCGTGATTTATAAGAATTTGAGAAATTTCTATGGATATTGTTTTGGTTGTCAGCGACGCAATTTTCAATGTTTTATGGAAAGTTGTAAATGTCAATTGATGGCAATAAATTTTCAATTGCTCGGAGGTGTGCTGAGACATTTTATCGAGCTTGACTGGGAAAGTACATTTATAGAATTTGTTTGCTGAGCATTTGTTGGATGGTTTTTTGAGATCTCTTGGGGGTTAGAGTGGGTTTCGAGTACTGATTTGAAAAGTTTTTAATGTCAAATCGCTCTTGGGATGTCTCAAGATTTAAATTGAATTTTTCCAACTTGAGAAAACCACGCTAAAATTTTTCCAACTTGGGAAAATTGCGCTAAAATTTTCTTCGTTCAGAAAATCGCGCTCAGTCTCAAAATTTACAAGAATTTCAATTTAAACTCCCAAAACCCATAAAAATTAAACCCTAAAGAAAGCTTCCCCAAACACAACTTGCAACGCCCATTAAGCTCTAA